TTTAAACCTTTAGGGTTAATTACTTTATAGAGAAAAAAGCCACGTTTCAAAAAATCGTTTTTATTTGGACACTTCAAGGTACAATGGGGATTTAAAATCTAGTGGTTCTATTCTTGAACGTTATGCTTTTTCACACGGGATGGGAGCATCAGGTGTTTTTATTTTTCTGATATAATAGTGTTTGCCAAAGTTAGTTCGGTTAAAAAGGTGTATTTAATTTGCCTTTACCCAGCTAATTACTAATTTACTGCTCAGTTAAAATTGGCATTTGGGAAGCTCAGCTAAGTGAACAAGCAGAGCCATTGGCGTTAACCACAAAAGCGCTTTCTAAAGGAGTCATACCATGGAAACGTAAAGAAGCGTTACAAAAGACGGGGCAGTTTGCGACACTTCGGTAACAGCTACAGATTTGTTCGGAGTTGTTGCCACTTTTGTTTTTGGTCTGATGTGGTCTAGAAATCTTTTATTTTTTTTACAAATTTGTGTTTTCGGTGTGTATATTTTGTGCTAATTTAGGCATTCTATAAATTTAAACTGTGATCTGTTGGATACCGATTTTTATTGGGAAAGGGAGAACCTCGAAACTTTTTATTACATGGCGTTTCATCACTTTTCAGTGCCAAAAAGACTCAAGTTGCTTTTAGTATTAAATAAATTTTAGCTTTTTTACAATGAGCATGGCCTGCAGAGTTATTGTTTACTTTCTTTTTATCAGTGAGGGTTTTTGTTATCAGACGACAACTTTGACGTGTTCTTTTGCGTTATGTTTCATTATAGATTACTGAACAGCAGACTAGATTATTGTGAACAACTGGTAAGAATAGTCGATGGGATGCTCTGTGACCGTCATGTACGTTTTATTCGTTTTTGACATTATGATATTAATGGGTTGTTGCGTTTGAAACGGTTTTTTCGAGGGGAAGTGAGTCTTGACATTAGCCTTTTGGTTAACGGTCGATCGTACGCTTGGTATCATCCCGAAGGAGCCTAGAATTTTTACTTTCATTTTACCGCTTTTTTCTTGAATATTTTGTAGATATCATTTTGCAAAAACGTTTTTTCTCAGACGTGAAAAACCACTGCATGCACTCAGTTCATTTGAATGACTGCAAAATGACATTTCTTCACATGGTGCCTGTTGGAACATTTCTGTACTATGGGTCAGAAAATCGTTCGTCAAATTACATCGGAAAGTTGTTGTGTTAAGTTCCGGAAAGATGATGTTGAGTAGAAAGAAAGATAAGAAATGCCTTTCTGTAGTAGATGGCGGGTTGCTTAAGAAATTAATGGAAAATGGAACGGAAGAAAGCAAACCGGGGTCAGTTTCAGGGTTGAGGATACGTTATGTCGAAGCTAGCAAGTTGTTGCAGAGAGTTTTCGAAATGAAGGAGTCAATTCAATGGATACCATATAACGGGAGACCAGAAAACGAAAGAAACGGCGTGTAGCTACTTCTTATTAGGATATTTCTTTTTTGACGGCGTTGTAACTTTTAGTGAAAAACGGCACCTATGTCTTAAACTGAAAAAGCCAGAAATGTAGTTTCGTGAGAAATTGCTCTAGTAAACAAAAAAAAAAAAGCATTTCGAAACTGAGATCTACTTTTAGCAAAAGTTGCCCTGTTTTTCTAATTTGTATTCTGTGTATTCATTCGGTACCTATCAATTGCCGTAAAATAGAAACCATTGTAGAAGAACTAGCAGATATACGATTAGTCGGTGAACCGAGAAGTAATTTTTCAGATCAGCAGTCACTGTTTTACTGTCTGGCAGGACATTAGAGCGGTTACGCTCTGTGGCTGCCGCTTGCCTTCCGTATTTTCCGCGCTTGACCTCTTTAAAATAACCTTAGTTTCTAGCGGCTAATATCTTTCTGGAATATATAATCTACCTCAGTTGGACAGCAATTGAAGATCCCTTTAAAGTATTCGTCAGGCCTCATAGCCAAGAATTCAAAAAAGGGTTATGTGTGATCTTCACTAACGTTAACAATATTGTTTTTTCTCTTGTGTTACTTACTTTAACTAAGCAAAATTTAGTTCAACCAAATGTAAAGCGCTTCGAGGATTCGAAGCGAAAATAGCCACTTTAAATGCAACAGCCTGGCAGCTCCATCTTTATGCTTTCTTTTCTGATGATCTTATACAGTAGTCTTGTAATATAAGCCCAAAGCTTTAGTGAAAACCGCAGCGTTTCTCTCGGATTGAGTAGTTTTCTTTTCAGGCTTCGACTTTAGAGTGGATGATTATCATTCTAATCGTAATTGAAGTTTTTTTTGATATTTGGCACTTTCTACTGTCGTTGGAAGAAAGAGGGCTGATCACGGAACGTGCTAAGGCCGGTTCATTAGGAACAGATACTTCAAATTAGACTTTTATTCGACCTTAGTTCCTTATATTTAAAAGTTAAATATAAGTTCCCCTCGATATTTCGGTTTCTCGTGGGGCACTGTTTTTTTGATACTGTACTTCTGCTTGCTTACAAGTCACTGATATGTCTCTGTGATTTGTCTATCTAACCCTGCTAATCATTGTCTTCTTAGATTTCGCTGCTTCAGTTTTGCATTTACATTTAGGATTCATAATTTTAATGAAACAGTGGGTAAATCTAAATTGAATGTTTAAGGCGTTTACTTTGTAATTATATTATAATTCGGCCGATAAATTTTTTTTATTTGTTGTTTTGAATTTTTTTCATTCCATATGTGGAAGTGCGGTTTGTTAGGAGGAACGTATTTTTTTTTGTCAGTTTCAGTTAAACGAATATATTTTAAGTAATATTGATGTATTATGGTTGATTGTGATGAGTTTCCGTTGTTGAGCCAAAAGCTAGGGATTATCATAGGTTTGTCAATACAGTTACTATGTTGGCGATTTCAGTGGGTATGGTCGGAAAAATTTGTTGCAGACAGGTCGTCCGTTTTAAATTTTAGTATTATGATTTCTACTTCTTCGCTGCAGTTTTTAAACAACTTTTTTTTTATACTTAGAGAAGTTTCTGGTGGGTTTGAGTTCATTGATGAGTCATGTTAATGTTTTTTGAGAACCCCTCTGGCTGCGTCTTTAGCTGTTCTCTTCTTTCCGTTCATTTGCAGGAATTTTGTTCGGTTCAGCGTATTTGATTTACGGTTTCAAAGCATCTAGCTTTTAACTCACAAGAGTCATAAACTGCGTGAACGAATAAAGTTCTGTTTTGAATCTCTTAGATGACCGATGCAACGCGCTTTGCAGTAATTACACTAAGCGAGAAACGATTATTTATCAGGATTTATTTACAGTAACGATGCTGTCGTCACGCGTCCATCAGTTTAGCCGTATATGTTGCGTTGGCGCCAGATGTGTTGCGGCAGCTTCTCGTGCTGGTTATGCAACAACAGAAAGTGATGCTTTTAGGCTAAAGGAATTTTCTGAAAAATATTTGCATGGGAGAAAGGTATAAAAGTTAGTTTCTATT